TTTTGTTAGTTTGTTGTTATAAAATACATGTTTATTATAATACTCAGAAGTATATCAAAGTTTAGCTGTAAAAATTGCCCATTAGCTCACCATCCAGAGACAACTACTATTATCAGTGTTATTATTATTATATGTTATAGTTTCAACAAATCTGACCATAGTACATCTACTTTTTTATAACTTGCTCTTCTATGTTAGTAAATAGTATTGAATATCATTTTATAGAGCTACATATTACATATGGAGATATTTTAAGTTACTTAATCCACCATGGATTTCCACTGTTTTGGTGTCTTGGTCAATAGAACTGTGTATTAATTGATTACCATTGCCCCTGGTTTCATTCTTAGAAATAGAATCACTGTGTCAAGGCAGATTGACACTTTCAAGGCTCTTAATGCCCACAGCCGGTGTACCCGAGCAGTGGTACCAATTTAAGAGGAGATGTCTTACCGACCCTTGTGGTCTTTGAATATTCTGCTTAATTTTGCTGTTGCTCATAAATAGCCTTATGTTAAAGGAGGGCCAAGGTGTTTCCTATGCTAGTTTGCATGTCTCTGTTTACATATATAAGTACACAGTCAAAATAGAGACAAATGAATTATTCAAAGATGTAGAGAATTGAGAGCCTATGTGTGAAAGATGCCAATAAAGGAGCACTGCCTATATTGGATTTATAAAGTATAGTCTCACTTAAAAGAGATTAAATGGTATAAAATGACAAAATAATAGTGGAAATTGTGAAATACTTGAAGAAGAATAGCTAGAATTTTTTTTTTCTAAGAAAAAAATCAGTTGCAAATATTTTAATTGAAAACAATTCAAGTATTAAGGGAACAAGTGCCACTTAGATCCCTCTAATATGTTTGGCTTTAAATATTTTTGATAGATGTCTTACCCCACCAAAATATTTTTTATCCCGCTGTGCACAGCAACCTTTTTTTTGTTAAGATGTTTATACATATTAAAAACCATCTTTCAGTTATTCAGTATGAAATTCAGACTTTGTGCACATCCATATTTAGTAGAACTGGATTCTCATTTGGGGGGGCAGGGAAGGACTTAAGCCATTTGGAAGAAAAGTCATACATTTGATCTCAAGGCACTGGCAGTGAGAGTCAACCGTTGAAAACACTTCTAGATCAAAAAGATTTTTAAAACAATTATAAGAATTGCTCAGCTATTTTAAGCTTGGAGAGGGAACAACTCCGACTCTAATCGGAATTACTGGCCTAGCAGGGTGCACTTGTCCCCACGGCGTCCGCGGCCACCCCGCTGCGGCGAGGCCCAGGCGGCTCCCGCCCGTGCGCAGGAGCTTCGAGGGGGCCCCGCCACCAATTGTGGCAAAACCTGTTCTACCTGAGAAGAGAAAACCATTTTATTTTTCATATTTAATATTTACTATTTCTATATTAAATCCCGTTTCTCTGCTTTGTCACGATGATATAGAGAAAGCTAGAAGCAGTGATAGCTCATGGGCTAAAATCCACTAGAAAAAGGAATTCAGGCACCTGTCGCACACGGGGTGAGATAAGTGGTAAACTCTAGTATCGGTAACTTGATAGGGACCGTGACATTTTGCAGCCTTGAGGAGTCTTTTTTAGAGGTACATCCTTATATTGATACACTAAAAATAATTTATTCCAATATTTTTAAAAAATGTTCCTAACATATAACTTTGGTTCCATTCATTTTATGGCTAAGAAATAATATTGCTATGATGTTAAGCTAGTGATAAAAAGGATTTTTAAAAGGTATAATATAATGGGACACTATCAGTAATTTTTAGTTTAATCACATGCAATACTTCAGCTGTATATGAAATTTTTCATGACTTTTAACTGCAAACTGCTCTCTAGCTTTAGAGTCATGATAATCCTCCATAAAACCAACCTGGAAAAATCTTACTAGGTTTATTTTATTCCTTTTATGTATGCTTGAAATAGTTACCTCATAATCACCGAAAATATTTTTGGGAAATCGTGAAGGGGATTAATAATTTGGACCATTAGGTTCTAATGTTTGAAAAAATGTAAACAGGATCATTGAAAAGCAGTTATGGGGAATGCGCTTTGCATAATTTATATCAGTGTAAGAAATATTCTTGCTCTAAATATTATTTACATGATTGATTAGAGCAAGCTCCTTTGACTACCCTTTGCTTATGCGATGGAGTATTTTAGCTAAATATGCCCTGCTATGGAAAACAAATAAACCAGCATTATAAAGAAATGCAAATGAAATTCAAAATAGTGTTAGAATAGCTCTCTCATGGTTCTGACACTTTAAACTGAGAAATTCCAAAACTAGAAAAGCTGAGATTCTTATTGCCACCTCTCTTCCTAAAATACCCTCAAATTTTAAAAACTTTAATAACACGATTATTTTAGGTCCACCTAAAGTGAATCATGGATTTGATTTTTAAAGATCTTCCTAATGTTATAAATTTGAACTTACACTCCTACTAACCAGACTCTCTTCTGTTTCATTTTATAATTTCAAAATGTATGACTGCTCATCTTATTCAGTGGCCCTTTGATCATTCCTTTAATTACATTGGTTTATATACAACTGTACTAAATTTTTATTCATTCATGCATTGATTCATTTATTTATTTAACCAAATGCCTCCCATATGCCGGGCCCGGTTCTAGGCACTAAGGATTGAGCATGTAAAAAAGGTTTGGCCCTGGCCGGGTAGCTCAGCTGGTGAGAGGGACGACCTGATTTGCCAAGGTTCTGGGTTCAATCCTGGGCCAAGGCACATCCAGGAATTTAAGTGGAACAGTAGTAAGTCAATGTACTTTCTCCCTCCTTCATCTCTCTTTAAAATCAATAAGGAAAATTTAGAAAAACAACACACAAATAAAACCGGGAGGCATTTTCCTATGAGGGAGTTAAAAACGAAGAGCCTTACCAAAACGGAACTTCCATTCCAGCTGTGGTTAGTGTGCTGAAGTCTCACTCCATATGCTTTCCTTCTTAAAAAAGAATTCTTGTGACTTCTCATACCATTTTACTTCTAAAAAAATCCCCAAAAAACAGTTACAGACTGTTAGCAACAAATACAAGAAACATATATCTGTAAATGTAGCAGGGAGTAAATCCTTTTATTTGCTAGAGTTTATCAGACTACAGAGCTTGGGGATTTTAGGAGAGACTTAATTAGCAATCAGCATTTGTATTTAAGTTAAAATCCTAGTTGCACTCGCTACATAAAAAACAACAACGATGTAACATCTAAGTATTGGTTAAAAATGTTGGGATGCTTAAAAAATTCCAGGAGAATTGTTACGGTTTACAGTGATCTTTGGCTGTTCATGCTAATATCGGAAGACCTTATGGTCTGAGTAATTGAAGTGGACTGTGACTTTGCTACACCAAAATACGTTTAATTTCTAAAGGCCACTGTGAGTGGCCTTTTTGCCATAAAGTACAACTTTCCTTGGCTCCCTTAGTGTTCTGGTTTTAAAATGTCGTATTTGCCCTGCCAGATTGTTTGTTATATTCTACTACATTTTAATGGTATTGGAAAGCGTTTATATTGATCTTTAAGATGATGCGATGCAAGGTTTTTGTTTTTATGGTGAGGTTTGAGGGCCCCTGGCCCACTGTGTGCTACATAACCAGAGACACAAAATCACGGCTCTACAAGGAGGTGAACAGACTGATGCCCATAGCTCAGTGGACGAATCTATAAACCTGGGGCCAGATGGTTTATCTGTAAAAGAGGCAGAATATATTTGCTCCTCTTACGTCAAAGTTTTATCATAAGGATTGGAAAAGATGATGATATCATTTTGCAAATATGATACAAAGTTCTAGAAACTATAACTGGTATCATTCCAGTTTTCTGTTAGTGTCTTTCACCGCTGTATAATCTATGTATATGTGTTTAAGGAAAGGATGAGTCCTGCCAATAACTGAATTATACACTTAAATTAATCCATTGTTTTCCAAGTGCTGTTTACTTATTTTGGACCCATAAGGAAACGATGGCATTCCCTTCATCACTGGGCACTCATATTAAACAGGAGATACATCAGAGTGGCTTCCCAGTGACTAAACGCATAATGAACCCAGTAGGGACAGAAAACCCACTGAGCTTCGGAAGTAATCCATCAGAAATGACAGGGACACTTTAATGAGAGTCATAAATAACAACTGTTTCCCAGCCCACGACAAATATTTTAGCGCTTCCTCTGGGGATGAACCCAAGCCCAAGTCAGGCCCTGAGCTGTGCAAAGTGCAGCGCCGAGTGTGGGAAATCAGCAAGGAAGCGGAGCCCTTTCCTGTAATAATACAAAGTGATTAAGGGGCCCTAAGAAAGTCGATCGACTGGTCAATAGTGTGTAAGTGCTGCGAGCACTTTCCCCTTGCTAATCAGTCATTAAGTTGTTTAAACTAAATATTTCGAGTTTCTCCAATTACTGAACTGATTTACAAGACTTGGTCAAGGATGTCAGGGCCTCCTGGAGCCAGATCCCAGAGCAGCTGTCATTGGGAAAAGACGGCAATAATCTATAAATGGTCCTCTCACTGTGGATTAAGAAGGTTCTTAAAAGGGAGGGCATGCCGGGAGGCGCTCTCTCCAGTGTCTGGATGCTGGTGAATGACTGTGTCACTCCCGAGTGACATGGGCGGGACCGTGATGAAATTCAGGAGTAGCGTTGGTCCAGGTTGCTATGGAAACGCCTATCCGCTCTACAGTGCAGGCCTTTCGGGCGTCTTACACTTCAGGCTGCGGCAAGCGAGACTCCGAATTCGAACCAGCCAGAGGTGTCCCAACACCGCCTGTCAAGTGACATGTTCAGTGACATATTGTTACCTGCCTGCATAGTACCAGTGATTCTAGTATCAATACCACGTGTAAACTTTTTTTTTTAAAAAAAAGTTGAATGCCACTGCGGGGGAAAGAAAAAAAAAAAAAAACAGCACTAAGAAATAACTTTAAACGGGAGGAAAAACTTTTTTATTGATATGTTTTACTTTGCTGGCAGACCAGAGCAAAGGTTTTGTGAACATTTAAAAGATGAAAAAGGTGAAGAATCCCAGAAGCGGTTTATCTTGAAGCGAGATAACTCTAGTATTGATAAAGAAGACAATCAGGTTGGTTCTCAAGTTTGAGAGTGGCTGACGTTGTTTTGGAAGGTGGGCTGATGATGTTCTTGTCCTTCCCCTGTTGCTCCTGCCTGCCCCTCCCTGCTGTCCCCTGCCTCTGACACCTCCGTGCGCCCTCCCGCCTCCTCGCCCCGCCTCGCTCCCCCTCGGCGCTCGGTGGGAGCCAGAAGCCTCGTCCGCGCTTAGCCATGGCTCTGTGTTGGGCTGCATGGGTGGTGCTTGGCGCAGTCCCTGCTGCATGCGATGGGGGTTGGGGCGCCACCGGCTCCGAGCTGTTGGGAAAAGCTTCGTCAGTCGCATTTCCAGATGTCTGTGTAACTCTGGCAGTCGTTCCACTCCCTACAGCTTTGCCCTTCAGTTGTGCACAAATTGAGCTGGATTATCAAAACGGACCGATGATCACCCGGTGTAGCTGTAAAGAACAAACCTTGTTATGGTGAGGACAGGTGGATTTTGCAACTATCCTACAATAAGGCTTCACAGAAAAGAATCGAGTTCATGTCTTAGTCTCCCAGCCCTTCTCCTTCCCATGTTTTATTGTCTGTGTAAATTGTCTGCTTGTTTTTGCATGAACTGTACAGCACAACTCTCTCTTTACATGTATTCCGCTTGCGATACAGACAGTGCGTTGTTGTAGAGTAGCCTCGATAAGGGTAGAGGTGCTTTATTAAATCTCTTCTCCAGATGGGGGGGTGGGATCCGGGGCCATTAGGAAGGAAGAAAAGGGAGTGGCAAAGAAAACAAGTTTTACGTGAGACTGAGAACAGTGGAAAGTCATATAAATGCCATTGTACTTTGTAGGCCTGACAATCAAAATAGGCTTTTTGAAAATGACTTTGCTTTAAAATTCTTAAGGGCAAGACAACAAGCGTCTCACTCAAGTTATTATTTTAATTACTCTCAGTGAGTCATCGTAAGGCAGGATGTGCATCTCCAAGCACTTAAAAAAAACACACCCCAAAACCAAACCCCGTTTATTATTTGTATCTCATTTCCTCCCACCACCACCTCCGAGCTCCACCGCGGCTCGCGTGGGCTCCGAAACACGTGCCTGCGTCCTGTGCTCAGCGGGTGCTTGCTGGATGGATGGATGGTGTGGTTAGAGCGGAGGGCCCGCGGGGGACAGCAGGGAGGAGACGGAGGGCAGGCGAGGTGCCGGGCGTGACTCAGGCGAGGGAGGGCAGCCCTCATGCTGGGTTCTTTGAATTGTTACCTTAGATGTCTTGATATTGACCCTGATCAACAAACACATTTCAAATGGATTTCCTGCTTTCTATACCAGATGCAATTCCCTGGAGCAGTCATTGAGTGAATTCAAAAAATTAGGGTACAGAGAGAGAGGGTGCGTCCATCTTCCTCTCCACCCATTATTTCTTGACTCCCTTGCTGGGTTTCTCCAGTCCCCAAGTTTTCAAAGCCACCATGATATGGCCACCACTTCCTCTTTTAACCAACATTCTGCCTCCTCCTGAGTAGTCACGATCCCACAGGTGAACGAAGGAGACAGAGTCCATCACTGGTGAACTGTCACATAGCCGAACTGGCTGAACACCTGAGGCACATCTGGGCACCTCGGTTCCAGAAACACCTGTGCTACTTGCATCCAGCAAAGAGGCCACCAGGAGCAGCAGACATGTCCTGGCATTGCTTGTCATGCACACACAGCACACATGTCCCCAGCCCCCCCCACACACACGCCTTCCTCAGGGACCAGGGGGACTGAGACTTTTCATGCTCCATTTGTTGAAGTGAACATTTATTATCCCCAGCCCACAGTTGCTTAACCACAGACTTCTAACAGCTCAACTTGGATAACCCTCCTGATTTCTTTTTTCTGTTCAGCAGAACAGAATGCATCCATTTAGAGATGACAGACGAAGTAAATCAATGGAGGAGAGAGAAGAGGAGTATCAGAGAGTGAGGGACAGGATATTTGCACACGATGTGAGTAGTTGTTTTCATTGCCTCTTTAGTGCCGCCCTTCCACAAGCAGTGAGGCAGCCCGATGCCCCAGGCAGCCAGCTGGCAGGGACGGAGGGAGCCGGAGCCAGGGGCCAAGCCGACCTACGGCCAACGCGAGGCGTTTCTGGAAGAGGCCCCGCTTCGGGGAAGTGGTGGAAGAGTAGCCAGGGACTCGCGGTGTCCTGCGACGTGGCCTGTGCGGGAGCCGGGGTCTGATTCGGTGGGTTCGGTGGACCTGAGCACAGAGCCAGGTTGCCCGGTTTGAAGAGATGCCGCCAGGCCCACGCTGGCCGGGGACCCCCCGCCCCGCGCCTTTTCCCTGCGGACACTGCAGCGGATCACAGAAAGGAGGGGCGCCTGCTGATCACGCACGCACGCCCGCACACGGAGTCCTCACTTTCTTAGCCGTTTGGGCCTTTTGCTGTATCACAGTGAAATAACAACACTCATTTTCCCCCTCGATTGCAGATCAAATTAGTTTTGTAGTTTTCAAGGAAATAATGATAAAACAACTTCTTTTGTTCAAATTTCCACAAATAAGGTGGTGGGGATTTTTTTTTTACCCACTCTGGTCAAAATAAAATGCAATTAAGTTATATAAAGTTACTAGGTAATAAAAAGCTGGATTTTTTCAAATGCAAACAAATGAAAAGGGCAAGCGGTGGCCGTGGCTGCTGCACTCCGGGGGCCACCCGGCAGCCTCCTGGGATGCTGGGCTCTTCCCTCCGCAGGGCTAGAGGCGGACCCGCTGAGTCGGGTGCGGCCCCTCGCCTCCCCCTGCCACGTGGTCCTGGAGGCCGCTCAAAGGCAGCCAGTGACCCAGGCCTCGGGCCCGCGTGGAGGACCCCTGTCGGGCTTCGCGCGCACGCCAGCTGCCCGGTCCCCGGCGGGTGCGGTGCGGTGCTCCGCATCTCCCCCACCGGCGTCTCTTCCAGACCCTCCCTGCCTTTCCCGGCTATATTAAAGTCAAGTTTTGATGATGGAATAATCTGGCTCAGAACTCTGGAACTAGGAGAGTGGGACAGAGGGAGATGTAGCCATAGCTGGCTCATGTTGGGGTCCAATTCTAGAAGATTCTGTACATGTATGGAGTACTTAGATTTTGATCATGGCCAGGGTTATCGATGGTACAGCCCGACGCGTGGAAGGCCTTCAGCTGTGTCTGCTGGGTACCAGAATGAAGTAACGAGAGGCCCTGTGCCAGTCGTGGTGGCATAGATGCCTCCCGTGGACCGGGGGTGGCATGTTCTGGTCTGGTGACCTTCATGGAGGGAAACTGCGGGAGGTCTCAGGGTTTACTATGCGGGCCTCCCCGTGGGCTGCTGAGTCTGTCAGACATGGCAACTAGCCACCCCCAGGGCGAGTGATCCGAGGGGGAGAGAGAGAGGGAGAGGGAGAGGGAGAGGGAGAGGGAGAGGGC